TCACCAAGGCCTGGCTGTTCACTCATTTTTCAGTTGTTCATTCCTCCTTTCTCCGTGTTTCCTGACCACACTCTCTTTAAAAAATTAGCTACTATCTGTTATATGAGTTGAGGATAATTTTCTCCAGTAATTTGCTATCTGTTCTTCTTTTAATATGCGATCAAATTCACAGACTTGCCCTCATCACACCTAGGTTGAGAAGCATTGTTTTAACAAAAAAATCCGTGTGTCCCTTTTTCAGTTTAACACTTTGTTTCACAGCTAGTTTCTTTAATAATGTCTGCATATTGCTATGACTTTATTTATTTTTCCTGATGAAAATGATACATACGCTTAAGATAAAGTTTTCTTAGGTTTTGACAAAACAGTGAAAATGCAAGCCCCCATTTCTACACCAACCTCCTCTTCCTCGTTCATTCCATTTCTCTTCCAGAATGAGCATCATTAACAATTTTGCCATTGTTGTCTCAGATCAGTTTCTACATATTCGTGTATGGTTACAAATAGACTTAGAGCATTTGCGTGTGTGTTTTCACTTAAGTGATGCCATATTGAATGTGTATTCCAAATCTCATTTATATTAACAATGTAGCAAAACTGCCCATATTCTCAGACCATTCCATTATCACTCACCAGGGATATAAAGCATTATTGGTTTTAGTGTAAAAGCCCTTCAAATGTTTATTTCAAGCATGGTGCATATTTCACATAAAGACACGTAAGGAAAAATTAAACTCATACTTGACCCTTGATTTACACGAGTCAATGTACATTCTTAAAAATCCCATTCCCCCAAATGGCATAATATTTGGTAACCGTTTCTTTCCTCGCAGGTCATATATCACGGATAGTTGTCTACATGAATAGACAATCAAATTATTTGCAATGCTTGCCTAGGATTCTTTAGTTTTTAGGGATGTTACCACCTTAATCTCCAATGAACTTACATTTTCAATTTCAGCATATCCAAGGTAGACCTAAGCATGTTCTTAAATTTTTCCCAGTTTGATAGGCTAAATTTGCCCAGGCTCACATGTTGTGCCATTCTGTTTATAGGAACTATCCAGACTAAATAAATATATGCAGATAGCATAGAGCTCTCTACGTAGCCGTTACCTGGAGCGACGGTTGTGGCTGTGGTTGGGGTTGGGGCTTGGAGATAGAAAGAGGAAGTGACTAATGTTTACAGGGCTTTTCTTAGGGGGTTAATTGGAATGTTATAAATTGTAATGTAATTAAAAGTTTCAAATTTTGATTTAAAACTGTGTACAATTATGAATATACAAAAGGTCATACAATTCATTACCATGGAGACAGGGGCAGACACAGGGGGAAAGGATGAGTAAATGTCTGAATTGGAGGCAGAAACAATGAGAGGGCCTGTGAATGAAAGAAGCTGAGAGCAGGGAAAATGGTCATATGTACAAATCAGAGATCTGATAATGGCGGTTCACACCAAGTGCCACTGCCAGGAAGGAGGGTGAAGCTAGTGATATTGCCAGTAGTGTCGCCCACAGGAACGCTGACAGGCTGGGTATTTGCACTGGCATGGGCACCTGCAGCCATGTCAGCAGGCAGGACGGTCCTGCTGATGTTGGCCTTTAGACAGGCCTCTTCTACCAGCAAGTGTGTGACAGTAGAAAGTAGAAGGACAAGCCTGTGTCTGAGCCTGGAACGCAAGAGGGGCTGGGTGTGGACCCTGACCAGGAATGTGGAGAAATGAGCAGCTAAGTGCATCATGTTGCCCAGATTTTCAAGGACTTAGAGCTAAATGATGACAGCGGGGAGTGACTGTGAAGCCCTGGGAGTGTCTGAGTGTAAAACAAGATGGGTTCAGTCCCCTTGGGGAATATGTGGGAGCCGTTGCTGTGTAGATGGAGGTCACTGAGTAATAATCAGGTGAGCTCTGTAAGTTTTTAGGGGTCTCCTGAGTGCAAAAGGGTGACTCTTGCAGAAAACTATGAATGGTTGCAGAGTAGCTGGGAGGCACAGATGAGGCTTTAAGGAATGGTGGTATAGAAGTGAGAGGTGGGGGAGGAGCACAGAGAGGTTAGGGTGACACTTGTGTGTTAGGGGCCGACCCCAGGAGAAATCTGGGGATGGCTGAGAGGAGTGGGGAGACACTGGAGAGTCTTCAAGGGATGGGGATGCAGAGATGGGAGACATGGGGGAGGAGCATGGGGAGGTCTGTGTTTCTAGGTGATTTCTGCGTGTGAAAGGCTAAGTCCTAGAGAAATGTGGGGATGGCTTGAGGGGAGCTGGGATACACAGCAGAGTCCCTGAGGGCTGCAGGTGATGAAATGGGAGACATGATTGAGGAGGGCACTGAGATTGGTCAGTCTGTAGGTGATCCCTCAGTGTGGGGGGCTGCTGTTGCAGAACTCTTGAGATGATGGGAGAGTACCTGGGACATACAGGAGAGTGGCCGAGGGGCTGGAGTAAAGAGTTGGGAGACATGGGGGTGGAGCTCTGTGAGGACTCTGAGTGTCCAGGTGTTTCTTGGGTATGAGGGGCTGACTGGTGGAGAAAGCTGAGGTGTGGAGAGTTGGGAGACATGTGGGTGTGGCCCCGTGAGGGGCCTGAGTTTTCAAGTGCTTCCTGGGTGTGGGGGCTGACTGGTGGAGAAATCTGGGGAGGTGTAGAGAGTAACTGGGAGACATGGGTGTGTCCCTGAGGGCAAGGCGTGAAGTGATAGGAGACGGGGAGGAGTGCAGTGAGGTCTCTGAATTTCTGGGTGTTTCCTGTGCGTGTCAGGTTGACTGCTGCAGAAATCTGGGGCTGGCTGGAGAGGAGCTGGGAGAAACCGGAGAGTCTCTGAGGGATGGGGCTGAAGAGATGAGGCATGTGGGAGGTACACAGGGAGGTCTCTGAGTTGCCAGGTGATTCCTACCTGTGAGAGGCTGACTGCGATAGAAATCTGGTGATGATTGGAGAGGAGCTGGGAGACACAGGAGAGTAGCCGAGGACCTGGAGTAAAGAGCTGGAAGACATGGGGCCAGAGCCCTGTGAAGTCCCTGAGTTGTTACATGGGTGTTGAGGCCTGACTGTTGCAGAGATTTAGGGATGGTTGGAGAGTAACCTGGAGACTTGAGAGAGTCCCTGAGGGCTGGGAGTGAAGAGATGGGAGACATAGGGGAGGACCCCAGTGAGGTCTGTGAGTTTCTAAGTAATTCCTGGGTGACAGACAGTCACCGATATGAAATGTTCATGGCTTATGTATTTTTTATTTTTACCTTATTTTCTAGTTCTCATCATGGCTCATATGTAACACTCAAAACGTAATTAAACCATCTAGTCTATTATTCAGCTATATCATTTCTTTCTTTACATGACTTGTAAGATAAGATGTCAGCTAAAATTTTCATTTGAGCATGTTTTTTTCACATCCCCTTTGTGCTTCTTGAAGATGGGCAAAACCAGTCAGACTTGGAACTTTGCTCAACCGTCTTTCTTAGGAAAAGACCGTTTCATGGGCACAGTCTTTCAACCCCACTGGGCCATGTAAGACTAGGCCTGGAGCCTGAAATATGTCTTTCCAAAGAGATACTTAACCTGTTTCAGACTCACTGAGTGTTCCTTCAAAGTGTGGGTCAGTGGTCTCCAAGGGATGCCTTCAAAGTGTGGGTCAGTGGTCTCCAAGGGATGCCTTCAAAGTGTGGGTCAGTGGTCTCCAAGGGATGCCTTCAAAGTGTGGGTCAGTGGTCTCCAAGGGATGCCTGCAATGTTCAGCATTTCACACTTTATGGAAAGGGCCAAGATCCTTCAAAGGTGGCTTCAAGAGATGGGTGCAAATAGGCAAACTGAGCTGCACTGGTTCCAGGGTTGCAGGGGTACCATGGGGGACTGAGGTATATTACTGAAACTGATACTTTTCTGCTTCTTCTCTGTGTAAGTAAAATGTTCCATCCAGTGCTTTTCTGCCTTGTGCCTTCCTTGGTGACTCCCATGACAAAATGCCATGGGCATGAGTGTCCAGAGTCCTCCTCTGGGACTGGTAGTAAGTGCTCTCTGTTCTGCTCCTCTGCTACTGACAACCACACACATCTGTATAATGCAGCAGAAATGTTTCAAAGATAATTTGCAATAATGATGCTTTGTTGTGTTTTCCAGTACTGACAACAATGTCCTCAACTTTCCCTGAGTATTTTACTGTATTTTTAAAGGAGGGGAGATCATTTAAATGCTTGGACTTAATGGGATTAAGACCATGGAGCATATCCATGGTTTATGAAAAATAGCCCTGTGACTGTAATGGGTGAGGGCAATCCCTGCCATCCTTTCTGATTCCAACATTTTTTTTTCCTCAAAATTCAGTGGTGCTGCACTGCTAACACTACCCAGACTTCTAGTTAGAAATGACTGCAGTATTTTCATAATTATGTGAAGTGATGTGTGTGCTCCAACAGGACTAACACAGGTCTGACACTGTGGTCTGGATAAGGACCAAAAGAGGAAAATACTCAGTAACTATTTGGGGAATGTGCTGGTTATGTGGCGGCAGGCCAGACGCAGTGGCTCACCCCTGTAATCCAAGCACTTTGTGATTGCCTGAGCTCAGGAGTTTAAGACCACCCTGGCCAACATGGTGAAACCCCATCTCTACTAAAAATACAAAAGATTATCTGAGCATAGTGCCACACACCTACAGTCTTAGCTACTCAGGAGTCTGAGATGCAAAAACAGCCTGAACCCGGGAGGTGGAGGCTGCAGTGAGTCGAGATTGTGCCACTTGACTCCAGCTTGGGCGATAGAGTGAGACTCCATCTCGATCGATCAATCAATCAATCAGTCAATGTGTTGGCAGAGTGGGCATCTCTGGGGATGTAGAAATAGCTTCTTTTTCTCAGGCTTTGCTAGGTACAAGGTACAGTTTAATAGCAGATGGGCATTATCGTGATTGGTTCTTTTCTCTTATCTGCAGATAGCTTTTCCTTTTAAACATATCCTACTTCCAAATCATTCACGTGCCTAACACTCTCTCATCAATCTCTCTCCATCAGGGCTGCACAGTTTCACTTGCTTCCTTTGAGGACTATATATTAGGATTGCAGATTCCATATGTGTAAGATTCTACCATGGATCCTGATGCATCTTCCTGAGAAAGCACTCTCTTCTGATTGAAAACCACTGGATCACAGAGAATAAGGGGAAATAGGGACAGAAATAAGATCTCAGATTATAATGGTATATCTTGGACATGAGGCCATTAGAATCCTGTTCCACCAGGAGCAGAAGGTAACTGTTTGCACAGAGAAGTAACTGCTCCATATATACAATTTTTTTCCTGTTTCTCTGCTAAGCTAAGGTTTTTATCCTGTAGGCATATGGGTTGGATCTAATGTCAATTGTTGATAAGACAATACCATCACAAATTCTTTGTAAAACATTTTACATATCTGCATACTATTTCATTATGGATAAGCCTCATTTTTTTCTATTTATTCTGCTAAGATTTTTCTTTTTCTTAAACAATTTTACATAATTATAATGCAGTAATACTCCATTGGCATTCATTTTTGTCCATGTCAGAGACAATGTTTTTTAAAAATATGAAGCAAGAGGTCTAAGTATTTAGATGACTCTTGATATATAGAAATTACTTTCTAGAAAAGCTATCTGAATTTATGCTCTTAACAATGAATGAAAGTGAGAGATTTATCCATCCACCCATGGCTTGTTCTTTCTTTGTCCATCAGGTTGTATTATACAATTAAAAAGATACATTTTCTGTCTATAGCTGTACCATCCGGAATGTGTCCAATCTCAAAAACTAAGCAGGGTCAGGCCTCATTAATACTTGGATGGGAGAACATCTGAGAATACCAGATGCTGTAGACTTAAAAGAAAACCAGAACAACTTTTCTGATTTGATATCATCAATGAGGTTAAACCTTTTTTCCACACACATGAATCACTGAATCTGTTCTGAGTTATGTTGTCTGCATGTGTAAGTGGGTAGGCAGTATTTTCAATGTAAAAAATCATGCTGAGCAGAGCCTTCTGGGTTTGTCTCTGAAGCAGAACTTGATTGGAGAAAGTAATCTTTGGCAGTCATACAAAATAGGTTCTGTTTCCATTTGTGAAGGTCCTCAAAGGCATTTATTTTTCTTGCTAGTGTCCTGTCTCTACGATGCTGGTTAGGAGATCCCCTCACTTACTCTGCCTGGCAGCTTCTGAAGACAACCAGACCTTTATGTTTCACAGCGGACGGGTCTATGCAAAAATCTGAGGAAGCTGAAAGGCTAAAGAAAGAAGTGACACATCTGGTTTCTGAGAAAAAAGAAATTTAACAGGACTTTGTGATCAGAAGCTATGTCTAAGTCTCCAGTGGCAGTGAAACAAGATGGTGAATCCAATGCCATTACCCTCCAGACTGAGGACTTATATACCACAGGGAAAGGGTATATGTGCTTAAGAAGGAGTATGTAGGATAAATGAAGCATAGTAATTTCCAGATAGTTTTAACCTAAGGGCAGGATTTACAGTAACTACATGCCCTTATACAAGAAACAATAGATAAACTGGACATCTTAGAGGTCTTCCCAAACAGGAGTGAATCAGAAGTCAACATGGCACATTAGCATCCAAGATGGAGTTGCTTTGGCCTCTGTACTTGAAATGTGAAGATAAAGAGTTCTTAAAGGTTTTTTTCTTGGGTTCAAAGGAGGCTACTGCCTTGGAGAAGTGTCCTCTGGCTTCTAAAACTTCTAGACACAAGAGAAAGTCTTTTATAATCAAAGAGATTTTAAGGGCCTAACGTCAACAGTATGTGGGATGCGCCATGGTCCATGCAGATCCTATGAAGTTCACGGGAAAGGGCTGTGAATCTTATCTAATCTGCAGCAGTTTGGTACCCTGTAGTGGTTTTGAGCATGGCCTCTAGAACCACCCCATTTAATGGATTCAAACCGCAGTTCCCTCTAGTTTTTTTTTTTGAGATGGAGTTTTGTGCTTGTTACCCAGGCCGGAGTGCAATGGCGCGATCTTGGCTCACTGCAACCTCCGCCTCCTGGGTTCAGGCAATTCTCCTGCCTCAGCTTCCTCAGTAGCTGGGATTACAGGCACGCGCCACCATGCCCAGCTGATTTTCTGTATTTTTAGTAGAGACGGGGTTTCACCATGTTGACCAGGATGGTCTCGATCTCTTGACCTCGTGATCCACCCACCTTGCCCTCCCAAAGTGCTGGGATTACAGGTGTGAGCCACTGCACCCAGCCCCCCTCTAGTTTTTAATTGTGAACCTCTCTTTGCCCCAGTCTCTTCCATTTTAAAGTGGAGATTATAGTTATTACCTCATAGGGTTGTTGTGAGGATTTTACGATTAATATCTGTAGAGTACTTCAAACGCCATCTGGCACATACCACTATACACAGATCTTCTATTATTATGACTCTGAAGGTGTTTTTATCTATTGGCCACAGTATGTTACAAGCCCATTTTAATTTTTCTGCCTTAGGTAAGCTACTCACCAAAATCCCTAATCCACATTGTTACTATGTACTGATGGATCCACAGGATAATGGTGCAACCCAAGAAGCTGCTCAGCCTTTAAGACTATGAAGTAATGCTACATCCGATTTAATTCTAGTTTTAATCTCTGCTCAATATTCTTTAAATTTTTCCTAATTCAATGTTTGTTAACGAGTTTGAATGTTAACACAAATAATCACAAAACCCTACAACTTAATTTTAATTAGTTTATTTTATTTAACCCCTAACATTTTACTTAAAGACAGAAACTTTAGTTTTCTTTTTATAACAAAAATGCAACTGAACTGTACCATTGATATCTGAGGACAATGTTCAAAAAATTCCAATGTTCAAAACACAGTAATCACTGCATCTTCCCATTTGACACAGGAGAGATAATTGGATACTGAATATTCATGCACAGGTAGAGGCTACACCACACAGTGATGCTATGGTGATTGGGCATCCAATTTCTCGAGGATACATCTTGTAACTGGCTGTATTAGATACAGGTCTAGATGATCAACACTACCAGCAATATCAAATTAAAGCACTGGATTATAAAAAGATGCCCCAAATCGAAGATACATCTTGGAACTGGCTGTATTATATGCAAGTCTAAATGATCAACACTACCAGCGACATTGCATTAAAGCACGAGATTATGAAAAGATGCCCCAACTCCCTCTGCCCAGTGCAACGTATACCTGCTATCAATAAGGGACTCCCCATATAATTAGTAGAGAATAGTAATAACAGAGAAAATAATAAATGGCTTTGAGGTTTCTTTAGAAAAAAGAACTCTGGCTTTGCCATAGGTTTTGTTCTTTTTTAGCCTATTTCCAACTACTAAATCTTCAGCACATTCTACCTATTATCGCATCTACACATAATCATTATTTTTATACAAACTACCAATTCAGGTTAATGACATGTCCTTGAAGTTTTTCGAAAGTACAGAAAATCCATAAACTGCCACCTCTAGAAAGTTTCAGACTGCCACAAAGTGTCCTGTAGGCATAGTGTGGCCTTTGCCCTCTCAGAAGACAAGTGATGTGGTGAAGAAAAATGTGAACAAACCAAATATAGAATAAGAGAAAGATATCACGGTTACAAAAATCACCAACCTAATAGATCTTCAGTGATGCAAGTGCATAGATACCAACAATTCAGACGTAAGTAAACACTGTCAAGGAATAGACTAATAGAACTTGGGCAAGCAAGAGGAACAATATCCCAAAAAAAAAAAAATCCAAGTTTCAAGAACTTAACCTGATAGAAAATTCCAGAAATTGTCCTTGAGGAAAACAAGAAATGATCATGAAAATTGTCTTGACTTCAGAATAAAAATTCAATAGACCACAGAAGACATAAAGGAATCCAGATGGGTGATATAAAATAATACAGAAAGATTTATCAGTCAATAACGTATGTCCATTGAAATGTCATCCCCAGCGGATTACAAAACATTATCACACTGCCAATAAAACAGAAAATCTAACTTTGCTGTTCCAACATCAAGATCCACTTGGCAAATAACTAAAGCAGCATTTTTTAAATATAACAACACCATTTTTACTGCAAGGTTGATCAAACAAAGTCATTGTTATAGGTAGACCCCAAATAAATCCAAATACAGATTGAATTACCCTAAACAGTGATAACTTCCTACATCACCACCTTGATGGTTGTTTTACAAAAGCAGTTTAAGAAAGCTTTATTTACTAACAACCAAAGTTTCTGAGTATCAGCTTGGTAATTTGACCTGGTTTTATTATTTTCAGTTTTAAAACTTATAATCAACATCTGAACCATCTTCCTACACGAGGAATTTTTCAAAAGAGGAATGGCCATCGCCCAGAGATCCTGTCCTTGGAAGTGGATGCAGTAAAGTGAAGGTTTGGACTCCCCCTGTGTGTCTTTGGTTGTGAGATAGCTGTGTTAAATTAGGTAGGAGGTTATATATACATATCTTTAAAAATAAACCCTTTTTTTTTTTTTGAGACGGAGTTTCACTCTTGTTACCCAGGCTGGAGTGCAATGATGCGATCTCGGCTCACCGCAACCTCCGCCTCCTGGGTTCAGGCAATTCTCCTGCCTCAGCCTTCTGAGTAGCTGGGATTACAGGCACGTGCCACCATGCCCAGCTAAATTTTTGTATTTTTAGTAGAGATGGGGTTTCACCATGTTGACCAGGATGGTCTCGATCTCTTGACCTCGTGATCCACCCGCCTTGGCCTCCCAAAGTGCTGGGATTACAGGCGTGAGCCACTGCGCCCAGCCAAAAATAAACATTTTAAAAAGTGAAGAAAATGTTGATAGATTGGCTGAGCAAAAGGTGGCTTAGTTTTTCCTTTAGTGCTGGTTATTGAGTACCAATTGTATGAATGACAAATTGTCCACTTAACTGGTGTGACTGGAAGGTAGAGTCCACCTACCACAAGGCTCTCCGGAAAATGCCAGGCACTAGTGCCCTTGACTTCCAACCTTCCTGAAAGCTAAGGCCCAGTCACAACTTAGGATCCACCAGACCCAGGTACCTGCCTCAGCCCTGGAATCCCAAAAAAGAAAATTAGTCAGAGACGTGACTGCAAAATTTTTAAGGGCTCCAGACCAGGATTCTGGCACTTGTTTCTTTCTGTATAGCCATAACTGTGGTCGTAACAGGTTCTTGCCAATTCTTGGAGCCACATGTCCTCTTAATAAACTCCTTTTCTGAATCAACTGGCTAGAGGTGGCTCATGTGCTTTCCAACTAAGAACCCAGGCTGCTACAATTTGTAGAGAGCTATATGCTATTTATTTTTCTTTCCTTTCCTTTTTTTTTTCTTTGAGATGGAGTCTTGCTCTGTCACCCAAGCTGGAGTGCAGTGGTGTGATCTTGGCTCACTGAAATCTCCACCTTCTGGGTTCAAGTAATTCTCCTGCCTCAGCCTCCCAAGTAGCTGGAATACAGGCATGTGCCACCAGGCCTGGCTAATTTTTGTATTTTTAGTAGAGACGGGGTTTTGCCATGTTGGCCAGGCTGGTCTCAAACTCCTGACCTCAGGTGATCTGCCCACCTCAGCCTCCCAACATGATGGAATTACAGGCATAAGCCACTGCACCTGGCCAATATATGCTATTTTTGGATGTGAGCCATCAATCCTTTGCAGGACATTTTTCTTGGTGGCCTTGGATTGGCCCAAGTTTTCCCATCTTTCTTGCTTATAGTTCTAAATAATAATTGTAGGGCCAGTAGTCTTTGTACAAGCCGGGTACTCACTCATTTTCATCTATTCACTTTCCCTAACAAGTTCTTCCTTGAACAGCTATATTCTTAGGCTCTTATAGTTCTTATAGTTGATGTGTAGAAGTATTTTATCTTTAACTCCTTCCTACTCAACAGTGAAGTCAGCTATAGGGCTGCTCACTATGCAGTCTAGCATTTGTTACTGTGCCATGGAGGTGACTGCTTCATGCAAATATGTTTTTCTCGCAGTCATTTCCAGCCTTTTCTTGGAGACAGAATGACTCCAGGATAGATAATGTACTTTGTTCTCTTTATTGTGAAGGATCTCAGTCTGTAGTTAATGGGGGTCCACCTCACTTCAGAGAAATGTACCTGCTGAGGATATCTATTTTCACCCACACTCCTGCTCAGTTGTTAATGATTTTGCACTGTTTCCACTTTATTTTGTGATTTTTATCCTTCACTTTATATCTAGGTTTAACAAAATTAAATATGCTTTTATTTATATTTTTGAGATTTCAGCTAGGAGAGGGAAATCTAGACTTTATGATGTTGTTTTTAGATACATCTTGTATATTTAAAAAACTTTAGTGGATTTTGTACAAAATACATCTATTCTGTATATCTCAGTAATAACTTCCTACATCACCACCTTGATGGTTGTTTTACAAAAGCAGTTTTAGAAAGCTTTATTTACTAACAACCAAAGTTTCTGAGTATCAGCTTGGTAATTTGACCTGGTTTTATTATTTTCAGCTTTAAAACTTATAATCAACATCTGAACCATCTTCCTACACGAGGAATTTTTCAAAAGAGGAATGGCCATCGCCCAGAGATCCTGTCCTTGGAAGTGGATGCAGTAAAGTGAACTTGCTAAATCCTATTAATCTTAGGCCCACAGAATTATATCTCGAAAAATCAGTATTTTTCCAGTTTGTTGATAGAAGTTGCAAATGGACTTAATTTCACTTGGGAAGACTGGGAGGCAAGTTCACAGCACTGATTACCAACTTAGATCTGAATTCATTAAGACAGAACACACTCACATGCAACAAGTTACATGAGGTGGGTTTATTACTTATATACAGGCAGCAAGAGGCATCAGATTCCTGAGTCATTATAAGCTGGTCCCCCAAGGCTTGGGAAAGCTGCCTAGGGTGGAGAGATGTGGAAAAGCACCAATATAAAATACTGACAATGAAAAATATTATTTAAAAATAAACAGAAAAGATAGGAAACAGTAGTAACTCTAAAGACTTTTTCCTAAATGACTGAAACTAAGAGAAAAGTGATTAAGAGTTATGAAAGGTAGAATGTGGGGCTCCAACACTTGTCAAACAGCATTTCAGAGAGAATACAAAGAAAAGCAATAGAAAACTGAGAGGTCCCTGCTAGGAATTCTATATAACCTAGAAATTATACCAAATTCCTCCTATTAAAAACATATTCTGAGAAACTGAGCAGAAAGTAATCCACAGCTTGGATTACTCTATAAAGAAACAAGATTATCCAAAAAAATTATCTTTGGCATTAAATGCCAGAAGAAAATATATTTTCAAAATAATATAGCAAAATCAATGTTGGCCTAAAATTGTCTTCCTTAGCCAAGTTACCATTCAAGAGTTCATGACCACTGAGGACACTTTCAGGCACAGAAGTTTTGAGAGGTCACCACACATACACTGCAGTTAAGGGAATGCTAAAGGTTACACGTCAAGAAGAAAAGTGAGCATAGAAGGAAGACAGGAAAAAAATAAACAATGTTGAATAGAAACCCCCTAGAAGAATTCAACTCTTGATCACCTTAAGATTTTACATATTTCCATTTGTTAGTTTTTGTTGTTTCTCTTGACGTTCATTTATGTTATAGTTTCCATAATGTCACCATGGGTCCTCATGTTTATTTTTTCTTTCTCTTTTGATAAAGAAGTCATTTTAAGCGATAGCCTTTCTATTTTATTCTGAGAACAGCATTTTCTGTATCCCACAGGTTTGGGCATTAAGTGGTCTGATGTGGTACTTCCAAGGTGATGTTAAAGTTCAGTTTTGATTTACTCTCTTAAAAAATTGGTTTCAGGAGAGCATTCCTTAACATCCAGGTATTAAAAATATTTTGGCACTTTTGATTTATAATTTTACTGCAGTAGGGTTAAATCTGGCCTATAAAATCTCTATAAATTTTTCTATGGTATAGTTTGTTTTTTTGCGAATTTTACACACAGCTAAAAATGTTTATACAAATGTTTACTCATAAAATGTTATGAATATATATATATTCATGTGTCATATGTAATTAAAATCTAGTTATTGATCCTCCTTTTTAACCCCAAATTTTAGGCTCAAAAGTTTAATTACAAATTTTTGGCCTGTTGATGCTTTAACTTCTTTTTAGTTTTCATTGACCACTTTCTAATTATAATCTTTTCTGCAAAGGAAAATTATTGAGCAAATGATAGAAATTACTCTAATATTTTAAATTATCGAAACTATGTCTTGGCCACCGTAAGTCACCATCCAGTCATCCCTCAGCATATTTGGGGAATTTGTGCCAGAACCCTACGTACACCTAAATCTATGCATACTCAAGTCCCACAGTTGGCCCTGTGTACGCATGTATATAAAAAGTTGGCCCTCCATATATTTGAGCTTTGCATCCTGCAAAATCTGTATTTTTGATCAGTGTTTGATTGAGAAATGTCCACATATAAGAGGATCTACACACTTAGATGTACCTTAAGTTTTCCTTCCTATTCCCAGGGTATCAACCTCTGTTATCTGGTCTCTCAGTTCAACTTTCAACTTATTACCTTTCTGGGATCAGAGGCTTCAATACATGGTAATCCACAGGATTCAAATTCATGATTCAGGGGCAAGGTCAGCAAGACATGTTAATCAAATCTTAAATATCAAAGAGTAACGAAAAGCTTACCTCATGAAAGCATTCTTGCAGGTGTAATTTAGGTGGTCAGCGCTGAGCCAGGGAAGCACGCTTCCATTCAGAGGACTCTCACTTCAGGGAACATATCCCAGAGGAAAGAGAATACTATATAAGGGGAAAAACAAAAACGTGAAAATAGAGCTCCTTAATATTGCTTTGGATATATGAAAATAAGGTCACTTGCCCTCTATACTTCCCATGCATTCCCAATTCATATCGAACCATTTCTGGCCAAAATTTCTAGACACCTATTTCCAGGGATCTGTTTTATATTCAAGGAGGAAATGTCCCTAGGAATCTATATCTTAAATAGTAACATGCTCATGCTAATCCAAACATAAATCTCATTATCCTGAGGGATCTTTGCTATCTGATTGCTTAGTCTTTCCTAAATAGTCAAAAAAGGAAATCTTTGTATTTCATTTTTGTTTTTGAATAATTTTACGTATATCATTTATTATAGCACAACAGCATACATTCCAAAAAGGCACAACATAAACTGAAAAATTGAATAGATACACCCATTATCCCTTTCAATCTGTACATACTTTATCATAATATATAAGTATTATTTCTATATTCTTGACTCACATTTTTCACTATGTATCATAGACACTTTCCTAAATTTTACAAAATCTTCACATGTTAACAACAGCAAGTGCTGTATGGAACAGATTATGAGCTATCTAATTGGAACATCATGTAGTAAAATGATGCACTAAAACATGGTTTTCCAGCCTAAGTTCTAAACACTACAGCAATCTTTCAATCTTCTCAATAAGCCCACTAGTGTTAGCATTCCATTTACTCTTTATGGAAAATGAGGTCTAACACACTGGCAGATGGCTTTGGCATGATTTTTTTCTGATTCAGGTCTGCACTTGATCTTAGCCAAAAGGCTGAAAAGTGATCTGATTCAGGTCTGAGTGCTTTCTGCAAGGAAAAGTGCCAATACTTATTATTTTCATAGGAATATGTCATAAGAACCAAGTTTAATGTTGTATATGGAATTGCTAGGTTGAAATTTCATTCTTAGATTTCTCCCTTTTCCAGAACAAATTTCAGATACACAGTAATAGAGGACTGACTGGAAGTTTTCCCACATGTATTGTTTTTATAGCAGCTCTTCCCACTACATGTACTACCTTAAAATAAATTCTTTAAAAGAATGAAATAAAAAGGAATAAATTCCAGCTGAGAGATTTCCAAACTAGTTACATTCATAGAGTTTCTCTTCAGTATGAGTTGCCTGATGCCTAATAAGTTTATAGCTATTAATGAAAGCTTTTCCACACTGAATACATGTAAAGGGTTTCTCTCCAGTATGAGTTCTTTGATGTACAATAAGTCGAGCACTCAAACTAAATGTTTTTCCACACTGATTACATTCAAACGGTTTCTCTCCAGTATGCGTTCTCTGATGTTGAGTAAGACATGAACTCTGCCTGAAGGACTTCCCACATTGACTGCATTCATAGGGCTTTTCTCCAGTATGAGTTCTCTGATGTACAACAAGAACATAACTCTGGCTGAAGGATTTCCCACACTGATTACATTCATATGGTTTTTCCCCAGTGTGAATTCTCTGATGCATAACAAGGTGAGAACTGCGGTTAAAAGATTTTCCACACTCATTGCATTCATACGGTTTCTCTCCAGTGTGAGTTCTTTGATGTGCAACAAGCTGAGAGCTCCAGCTGAAGGATTTCCCACACTGATTACATTCGAAGGGTTTTTCTCCTGAGTGAGTTCTCTGATGAGCAACAAGTTTATAACTTTGACTAAAGGATTTGCCACACTGATTGCATTCATAGGGTTTTTCTCCAGTATGAATTCTTTGATGTGCAATAAGTTTATAGCTCTGGATAAATGATTTCCCACATTGATTACATTCATAGGGCTTCTCTCCAGTATGTGTTCTTTGATGTGCAATAAGTTTATAGCTCTGCCTGAATGACTTTCCACATTGATTGCACTCATAAGGCTTCTCTCCAGTATGAGTTCTTTGATGCACAACAAGGACATAACTCTGGCTAAAGGATTTCCCACACTGATTACACCTGTAAGGCTTCTCTCCAGTATGAGTTCTCTGATGGGAAACAAGGTGCGAGCTCCGGCTAAAGGATTTTCCACATTCATTACATTCATAAGGTTTCTCTCCTGTATGCGTTCTCTGATGTGCAACAAGATGAGAGCTCCAACTGAAGGATTTCCCACATTGATTACATTCAAAAGGTTTCTCTTCAGAATTATTTCTCATGCTTTGAGTTAGGGAGGAACTCTGAGAGGTTTTACTACATTTATATAGACACTCTTCAACAGGAATTCTCTGTTCATTATGGGATATGCTGTGGTTCAAAACTTGCCCACATTCTTTAAAATCAAAGGTTTTTCCTCCTCCATGAATTTTTTCATGTATCTGTAGGGGTGTACCATGGCAAAAAGATTGAATACTGTTATGCATTCCACAGGATTTATCTTTTGTTTGAGTTCTTGTAAACTGAATAAGGTGAATGCTCTGAGGGGGCTTTCCACATTCATTATTTTCACATAGTGTCCCATTGTCATCAATCTTCTGATGACTGTTTACAGCAGAATTAAGATACCATTTTTCAGCATGTGGTACATGTTTATGAAAATGGTTTATTATGGGTATAAATGGGGATGAAAATAGGCTGGAATTCAGACCACTCTTCTCCCCAGGTTCATCACTTTTGCAGACTCTCTCATGAATAATTGCTTTCCTTTGAGTGAAAGCCACTTCCTGCAAAAATATCTCTTCTTTTTCCTGTTGCTCCTCCAAGTGATCTTTATAGTCACCAGCTTCTTCACATGAAGATAACCAAGGATCATCCCTTGTAAAACATTCTATCTTCACTCCATTAGCTGGTTCTTCATCAAAAATGTTCTGCTTTGAAGTTGAATCTTCTTTTCCAACTGCAGTTGCCAAGTCTGAAAGAAAGCAAAATAAAGACATCTTAGCCAAAAAAATTAGAGCTGGAAAAATGGAATAAAGTTAACAAGAAAGTATGAAAAATGCACGTGGATTTGTTTTCAAATACTGACCAATAATCTAGGTTGAAAAAGCAAAAGGGTGAGATAAACCATTAAGTACAAAACTACCACAGCCTAATATTATAATAGAGCATTAAAATGTAACTATCATAAAATTGGTTTAATCTTAGTCTGAATAAACAAGACTTTGGATGTCAAATACCTGCATATTCCAAAATAAGATCATCTACATAGAACCTACAGAATTGTAATCCAATTTTGCAATATGTAAAGAATAGAGCTTCTTTTCCACTCGTTAGTGCTATACAGCTGTTCACTAAGAGATTAGTGTCTACATATCTAGGAATTTCTGAAGGCATAAAACTTGTTAAATGTTCTACTCTGTGTCAGTGAGACATGAGAAAAGTACTTTTGTGAACAAAAGAAAAGGAATGGGGCATTATTAATCCCAGTTCCCTAAACGGGGCATTATTATCCCAGTTCCCTAATACAGCCCCATGAATTTCTGTGATTCCAACTGAGAGAGACTAGAGTTGCTCTTAGTAGCCTGGGTGGCTACTAGGTCAAGCAATACAGAGTATAGATGGAAAAAGTGGTCATATATACAATCCATCAAAAGGTATGAAATGAAGAAAAATGTGGCATCTTCTATGGGGATTTTTTTCAAACAAACCTTCTATACCCGCAATGATCCCTATGTGTCTGGTTCTCACTTAAACACATGTATTGGAAAATTCTTTTTATATTCTTTCCCTTGCTCCAACTAGGAGATTGTATCTGTTTTGAAAAGCTGATGAGGAAGATACAGGAATTTGAGGGATCAAAGCGGAGGACAAATGAAAATTACTGCAGAATCTGGTCCCAGCCTTTGGTCTTTAGGAACATGAAGAATGAAAATCTCAAGCCCAAGAAGCTGCACTGTTTCTACCTTACAAATTAAAATTAATCCACTGGGGAATAAAGAGCACAAATACAATCTATATGCAGCCAATATCATTGTGGCTGCTGAATCACACAGTTCTTAATCAATGAGAATGTGAAATCATTTCAGTACATGGATCTTCATTAAAGAGGAGCATATTCTTACCCCAAGAGACTAGGTCTCTGTGGCTCTCCAGGATATCTCTGTCCAGGTTCCTCTGAGCAGGGTTCCAAGTGCCCCGTTCCTCCTGTGTGAAGTCCACAGTCACAATTTTGAAGTTCACTCCTTCCTAAAAAAATACAC